GCCTTTGTATATTTAAAGCTGAACGCCCGGGTTTCTTAAATTCATGGATTGCGTATGATCGCACACTGTCAAAGTTCTTGTGTTTCTGTGGTCTGTCCCCAATACATTTCCTGTGCTGGGATCGGTCTGGTGAGGTGCGGGTGTCAAGCTCCACCAATCACTTTCTACGTCCAGACGAGTTCTTGAAGGGGACAACCTGTGTGAAACTGAGGCAGTAACTGAACCCGCAGGACGAGTTCTGACGTGCCCTCATTGCACCCGCCCACCGTGCTGGCACCGCTTAAATCGGCGCTGCACTCATCGCAGCCGCTGCAAGTTCTGCCACTGCCCGTAGGGGTGTGGTGAGCTACGGGCAGTGGTGAGTGTGGCTACAGTAACGCCCCTCTTGTGTCGGGCGATGGGGCGCGGCTGAAAGCCAGAGTAGGCATGACTTGGCGATTACGCAAGCCGCATACGACCAGATGCTGGTTGATGGCTGGCGGTATGACTGAGCGAGAGAATCAGCAGGAAAATCGTGTTTTGTGACTGGGTGGTTCCTAAGGGTGTTTTTTTTGTTTCCCTAACACCAATCGAATCCGTTTTTTGGGCACCCCACGTTTTCCGTGTGAAAGCTGCTCAGCTCTGTGACGTAAACTCACATTCTCACGCTGCATCGAAGCAATGCCACGGCTCGCGCTGAAAAAGGGTTGCTGTGCCGCCGTGTGATGCAGGCTAGCACCATGCTTCGTATGTATAGGGCTGTTGGACAAGTGGTTGGGTTTCAGCTTATTGACAGCTCGCTCGGAAGGCAAGGAAGCAAACTGCCCAGGAGGCCGCTCCTTCTGCCACCAGGGCTGGATCAGAGCGTGCTCCAAGTGAAAAAGAACCTGGGTAGCGCGACGGGCGACCAAGCCGCAGCGCTGCATCCAGTTGGTAGCTTCTGGCTTTCTTCCTGCCAGTTGCCGGGCAATGTCTCCAGAGGCGACGGGTGGAGCGACGTTGACCAAAAACGCAACCAATCTTGTGGTTCACGGCGATTGTGTTACTCAATCCGTGTGACGGCGCGAGGCCGAGCAAATTCTAGCCATTCTTTCTGATCATCGGGCCACTGGGGAGATGCAGGATCCTGTGCTATCCTGTAGACCGCATTCATTTGTCAAGGTCTTCCCTCTTCAGCCCAACGACGTGACCGCCTCAGCGAAAACTTGATGCAGATCTGAGCTCGCTGCTTGCTTTCAGGTCCGCGCGGAGTATTTCCTCCGGGCGGAGCCCAGGATGGATAGGGCTGAGCCCATGACGGCCAGAAGCTCGGGCTCCGCAGCCACACATCGAAGGTTGGGGGGTGGTCTTTGGTTGGTGTCTGGTGTTTGGTAGATGGGGGGAAAAGTTGTTTGGCTCGGCAAGAAAGTCTTTGGCAGCTGAAGGCTGGTGCCCAGGCTCAGTTGGAGGAGGCGTGGCTTTGCACCTACTGCACAAATCGATATTTGGGCCTTTACCAAAATAGTGGAACCCTCACAATGGTTGGTTGCCCGTTGGTTTCTCTTTAAAGCAGCCACACAAGGGCGCGCTTAGAAAAGACACCCAGATCTTTGGTGTGGCAGGCCAGGAATAGCCAAGCATGCCAAGTCATGCCTGAGCCCTAGAGCCGATTGGTTTACAAGTGAGAGGAGTGTACATGGAGTTGCAGCATTGGAGTCCATGCGGGATCGCTTGTCGTGATAGCTTTGGTGGGTCGCTTGTGTTTGTCTTTGTGGCAGCCGCTTTCTTTGAGGCAGGCGCCGCCTCTGCCTGGTGGGGTGCTTATCGTAAAGTAGCCACGGTAGACGGGTAGATGAAGGCTAGTAAGACCTCTCTACCTGGTTTTGATTGCGGCTCACGTTGGAGAAGCAGTTGGATGTGTGACCCGTCTTATTCTGCAAGCTTCCCTGAGACGAACGGGACCCGAATGACCAAGCGCAGGCACCTTCTTTGCTGAGCTCATAAGGCGGCAATGCAGTGCGACAGCAGTCCACGCGCGCAACCCAGAGTGGATGTTGCAGCGCTAACTATGCAAATGCTAGCCTGTTGAGGCTAGCCTGTTGAGTCTGATCTCAGAATGGAGCCATTCTCACTGATCAGAAAAGTAATGAACAATGCAACAATGCAACTATGTGGTGGTGAAATGGTTTCCTCACAGGCTTCCACAATGGCCAAAGGTGTGCAGACAAGGAAACCATTGCCACTTGTGTCATTCTCTCTTCAGACCCCGGCCAGTCTTCCAAAATCCTCCTGTCCACTTCCACGGTTGGAAAGCCGGGTCGGTCATTCACAGAACTAAGATCATGTACCTCAATGAAAGTATAAAACCTTCATCAAAGGTCTGGCTTCCCTGACAGGGGGTCCCTTCAAGAGGAAATGAATCTTCCAGGTCTGTCAGGAATGACGTCAGTGAGTGTTTAGTTTGCATGGATTTTGAGGTCCAAACCCAAAGTTCGGGCAATGTTCCGGAGGGCTGAGTTGAACTTTCAAAGGTCGGCAGCTCCTTAAACTCCTCGACCGGCCCCTGGCCCACGCTCGATCGAGGAGCCCTCCTCCGCGGAGGCGCATGGAGAAGTCCCCGCCTCGGGCGGAGAAAACAGGGAAGCCGAGGTGCCAAACGAAAAATCAATGGAGAATAATTGGATAGAGCAATTTCTGATTCCTCAGATCAATCATGATAAATCATGATGAACAAATGCTAAATCAAGATGATCCAATGGTCTTTGAGAGCTCGCATTAGTAATTTTTGCATCAGGCATTCCGGAGGCCTATGTTGCTCTCAATTGTTTGGGTTAGTCTCACTTGCCAACACTGGACAAACAAGCAAACATGTATGGGACAGCTTTGGCAAATGCCCCTTTGTGGCGGTCACGATTTGCTTGCAGTTCTGCGCTGTGTCAGCACTGAAGGGCCTGCGCCACACTGTTGTGAACGATCATTCACTTTTCGATTTGAGACGTTACTGGATGGCACGAGCTTCGCAAGAAAGACACGGGGCACTCACAAGACACCTGGATCGACGATCACCTCCGGCGCCCAGTATCTCTCCTGACCATTCGCCAATCAGCCGCACGCCCAGAGCGGTCAACTTGCGCGGAGGGAGATTGCTTCCTGGCGAGCCGCGCCCACGATTTCTTTAGGCCTTGATGTTGCGCAAGTTGTTTGGCTCGCCATGGTCCCCGCTGTTTCTGTGGCCAGCTGGACTGTCATGTGTTGGACAGCCCGGTGCCGTCAGTTTGTGGACCAGGCAACTTGTTTGCGGCTGGCTTTGATGACCTTCAGCGGGTTTGAAAGCCACGCCCTTCCCTTGGGCTCACAGCTGATGTCCTCAGTAGAGGCTTTAGAGGAGAAACAGCGAGCAATGTTGCTGGGTCTCAGAAAGACCTTAGCAGCTTCACGCAACCTTCAGGCAGTTCCCTCGGTATTCAGCTGCAACAGTCAGGTTCAGCGAAACAAGCATGCTCAAGTTCTGTTGCGAGCATCCGCCAACTGCGGTAAACACTTGGATGCTGCTTGGCACTGGTACTTCATGGCGGAAAGCGCTTCGGGCTCTGAAGGCAGGATGGCCGGGAGGGGTCTCCAGTAGCACATGTTCATTCCGATCTTGCGCGAGCGAATGGTCGTCCGTTTTGTTACAATGCAGTGTATTTGTAAATGTTATGTACACAGAGGACAGCATGATGTTTGTTTTGAGGCTACTGCTACGGTGACTTCATGTTTGATCCTGTCACGGGTTCCCATAGCCTTTTTTCAATACCAGGCGATCGTTCCGGCGGAGAGTCTTGCCACTTTGCAGGATCGGAGGAGCAGCGTCCCAGCAAGCGCCACAAAGGCGTGTGCGGGGGTGTAGGGGGGTTTATGGAATTGATCCTGAAAAAGGCCTCGTTGGGGGCTTATTACTGACGTATCCAGAGATGGGGCTATAAACTTGAGGAGGTAACCAACTCGATATTGGGTTTCCTCGATTAGCCAGCCTACTACAGTGGATTATTTCTCTTGAGGTTTTGCATCAATGATGGATGTGTTTACATTTAATTTAGACATTCACGTTGTGCTGGGAGCAGACTGCCCAGTGCCAGTATATGGTCAGCAAGTCAAGATCCTGGCAGAAAGGTCGTTGCTCGCTGCCAGGCCCCAAACGCCGTGTAGCAGTGGACGCACGGGGTGTCTCCGCGGGCACTGGTTCCGTGTGCAAGCTCTTCGTGCGCAAGGCCGGCTGGGGTACACCTTGTTCCAGCTGCCACGGCGGAGAATGTTGAAAAGCCAATTCTGCTGGCAAGATTCATCCATGTTGCATCCGATTGCAAATCCAGGTGCCTTGCAATTTCTCGGATCCGTGGCGCAAGCACAGCGCGCCTCTTGGGTCGAGGATGGGCGCGAGGTTGCCATATGGGCATGGGTCACAGTTAAACCACCAGGGGACCGCAGGTTTTAGTCCATGTTTCCATTTACCAGGGCCCCATTTTGGGTACGTATTTTTGAGCCACACCCATGTGTTGCCATGCGTTGGGTGTTTCGGGTGTTGCACCCGGGGTATCAGCATTAGACAGCGCGCTTTCACCAGCTACTGGGACGTGAGCATGTTCGCCAGGAGGCACACAGGATTATTGTCTCAGCCAAGGCCAACTGTCTGCCACTGGGACCGGCTTCATACTTGATGGAAGGCGCTGTGAACCTGAAGACTTGGTACCTGATCCAAGACTCCAGTTCATGACAGTCAGTGGATTGATGTTGGCAAGGATCTCGCAAACCCCTCATTTCAAAAGAGTAGGCGAGTGTTTCTTTTGAGGGGTATCTGTTTAAACGAAAACAACACAGAAACCAAAGCCCATATTTCAGGTTCCACAATGAGGCAAACCCAGATGCTGTTTTCTCAGCAGCACATCGCAGCTTCGGTGGGTGGACAAAATCCTGCACCAATTAGTACTTACATGGTCTACACCAGGTTTTTCAGGGTTTGGTCCACCCCAACTGGCGCCAAGCATTTTTTTCCATGCACAGCGATGTCGAGTCTTTGCAGGTGGCTGGTCACCAACGCCCATGTGGTGCACCGCGCCGTGTCGGTGTTGGTGCGGCCCACCACAGGGCCGCCTGTGAAGTACAATGCCAGGTGGGGAGATGGAGTTGAAATAGATATGGGTTGTATAGGTTGCTGCCAAAATGATCGATCTGTTTTTGGACCCCCTTCAAACGTGGTACAAAATCAGGGTCTCAAAATGATGGGACCAGCGGAATCTCAGCAAGACACTGCATAGCTCAGTTGCTGGAGGGATTAGATAATACTGCCCAACTCAAAGCGATTAAACATTCTGCTATTCGCAGGAAAATAATCCAGATTCTTGGCGCAGGACTGAATAGACCCATGAAACATGTTTCGATGAATCTGCAACGGTCCACGCTGTCTCATCACATCTTACCCTCGACAGAACAACTGGTTCAGCCCACGTTGGACTCAGTCTTAGTATCTAACACAATGCCTGAAGCTGTCTTGCGGCTTTGCTCAAGATCCACAAGCGGTGGTTTCAATGGACAGGCATTCTGCCAGCTTTTGCTCCTTTGTTTTCCGTGGCACGCGTTCATTAGGCGACCTCATGCAAGCTGCCCCAAGCGCTTTCAGCATGAAGTGTGGTTCACGCCGCTTTCAAAACGCGCTCTAGGCCTTTCTGGGATCAGAAACCGTGCGAAGATCGTGGTTGATGGCCGACTGGTTCAGGGTGGTGGCCGTTGGCTTGCCCTGCTGGGTGCTAAGCTGTGCGAACAAGCGCTTGCTGCTGTTTGAGATCTAAATTCGTGGATACTCAGGTGACCTGGCGGTGCTTGAGGTGGAAGAGAGCTTTTGGAAGGGCAAGGCATCTGACATGCTGTGTAGAACTGCGCAAACATGTGCAACAACAGTTTGCATTGGAGTTAATCAAAGTTCAGCACCTCCGCGCCACTTGCATTCTGGAATGCCTTTTGCTTCGTGGAAGGAATCACTCAAGCTGTCTCGCGACATTCCAAAGTTGGATGACAACGTCACGCAGCGGACTTGGGATGAGTTCGCTGTACGTCATCTTGTGCGGGCAAACATGGAAGGGACGCTTTGCCCATTGTATCTCAGAGTCTCACAGGAATTAATTGACCTTATCTGCCTGATTGCCTCCACTGCAGTCCAAGGGCTTTAACGTGGCTGTTTCAGGTGCATTGGCTTCCCCTTGGGCGGCGAGAACATCTCGGTCACCCGGGGAGTTGTGTCGCGCCCGACTCCCAGAAATTCCTCAGCCTTCGCAGGCGACCTTCACCGAAGAAGGCGTCAGTATCGGCATTTGCTGAGGCACGTGTAGGTGTAGAAATTGCATGGTTAGATTTGCGAGCTAGTAGTGGCAATACTTTCGAAGACTTTGATTTGCTCCTCATCCCTAAAATGCAAGTGGGATAAGGAAAGTGCCAGTTCCCAGCTTCAAGCTGCATATTGTCAAGCCATGTGCAGTGACCGGCTGAGGCATTGATGTGAATCTGGACGGTTTGCTCCGCATCCAGATCGATGCAGCGATCAATCCAGGCGCACAGCCACACAGACCCTGCTAGAATGATAATTGAGACGCGGTACAAAAGTTTGTTTGCCCCTTCGCATGTTTGTTTCCTGATTTCCTGTAAGCTTCTTGTCTATTTGTATGAGAGTTTCCTCTCAAACAAGCGGGAACCCCGGAAACCCCAACATGAGCTTCGCGTTCCTTGCAGTCTCCTTGGAAAAAGAGCCCCAATTTTTGGCGGCCGACTCGAGGCAACTCGGGTGGCCCAGTGCTGGGTGCCCACGGCCTGGTGGTGGGGATGGCCTCCAGCCACCTCAAGAACGCAACTGGCACGAAGACTCCGAAGACTCCGCCCGTGCAACGAGTCGGAACCGCCACAATGAGGTGGTGGATGAACCCCCGGCCAAATGTCCAACGGGTGCCTAATTCAAATGGCCGCCTTCCTTTGTGGGACTTGGAACACCTGCCTGGGCCACTGGACTCATACCAATTTCCAGCAATGGAAGCTGATACTTTGGAAGACGAAACCCATCCCCTTCAGCCGAAACGTCACCTTGTGTGATTCTTGGCGGGCAAGTCCAGAATTCCTAAAGACTTTGGGCAAGTTTGAAACTTAGAGACGCTGACTGTGACTTTGTCTCAGAGTTTACCGACCAACATAAAATGCGATCGTTGTGACACGACAGATCAACGCTTCAGGCATGTTGGGGTTGAAGGAGCTGCTTTTGCCTGTTGCTCAAACACACCGAGTCTCAGCACAACTCAGCCTCCTTTCATGCTTTGACCATTCCGATACGGCCAGTGAGTACAATGTTGTTTGTTGGGCATTTGGTTGCCATGGGATGTTGCCTTCTGGGTCCATTGCCTTCAGCAGGCTTGTTCGTGCCTGAGGCATCCAACATCGGCTACGTGATCCCCTCCCAGGCTCCTTGCTCAAGTGTTGACAACCCACAATTGGCAGATGGCAAAGCATTGAAGCACTACACCGAGTACTGCAAGGGCGTGCCGGTCTATTTTTCTGGCCTTGCGGCTTCGATGTGTTAGTTGTTTGCATGCCGTATGGAGGTTGATCAAGCGATCTTTGTGATGGGATGGCCATAAAGAGTTGACTTTCCCACCAAGCGGGAAAAGTTACCCATGGTCAACCCCATCTGTGACAAGCGGAGGTGGTTTCCCCTTCTCATTGGATCTTGCAGGTGCTGGAACAATTTATCTCCTGCATAGGCAAGGCATTGGTCATCCACTCACCACTTGACTGCAGTTGTTACGGGATATTGCTTGGGCCGCTGGGCCTTTGCCGAGTGCAGCTTTGCTCGAAGGACATTTCCCATTGGCTCCGCTGGAAATAATCTGAGAGTACGTCTGGAAATACATGGAAACTTTAGAGCCTCCGGCTCAGTCCGCCGACATTGTCCTCTCCCTTTTCTCCTTCTCTCTCTCTTGTCTCCTGCCCCGTGTGTTCTGTCCTCCTCTCTCCCTCCCTCTGCCCCTTCCTCCCCATCCCCCCAAGCCTCTCTCTCCTCAATCTCCCTCTCTCTCTCTCTCCCTGTCTCTCTCTCTCTCTCTCTCTGTCTCTCTCTCTCTCTCTCTCTCTGTTTCTCTCTCTCTCTCTCTCTCTCTGTCTCTCTCCCTCTCTCTCTCTCTCTGTCTCTCTCCCTCTCTCTCTCTCTCTCTCCCTGTCTCTCTCTCTCTCTCTCTCTTTCTCTCTTTCTCTCTTTCTCTGTTTGCATTGCAGCGTCCCGTCCCCCCTGAGTTGCCTCGATGTCCGGGCACTGCCCCTTCATGACCCTGAACTGTTTGCTTACTACTGGCTTTCCCCTCAATTTCCCCTTCATGTCCTTTTCACGTTTCCCATGATGTCCTGGTCATGTCCCTTCCATTCCTTTCAACTCCCCCTTCATGTCCCTGTCATTTTCTCGGCATGTCCGCTTCATTTTCCATGTATGTCCCGTTCTTTTGTTGCCAGTCATTTCCCGACATCTCCCGTCGTGCCGATTGGTTTCCTTGTCCTTTGTTTCCCTTTCGTTCCCCCTGCACTCCCCTTGTTTTCATTTCTGTCCCTTTCATGTCCCCTTTCAGTTCCCCTTTGTTTCCCTGTCCTTTCCCTTTGCTTTCCTGTCCTGTCGACTTCCTATTTCCTCCTCTCATTTCCTTGCACTTCCTTGCATTTCCCCTTTGCTCCCCAGTATTTCCCACAAAAAACACGGGTTTGCCAGCGTTTTCGCAAAGAGGACGTCCAAAAACACAGAGTTTTCGGCAAAAGGAGGCAGGAAACCCAAACCAGCAAAGAGCCGGCAGGGGGATTCGAGCCTGGGACCCCTGTTTTGCGACACCAGCTCCCCGAAGACTACGTTTAGTGAATTTGATGACGCGCGGTACGTGGGGGACCCCCCCTAACCCTACATGTCAGACGTCAGGCGCGGGGGGGTTAGGGGGGGTTATCCTCTATCCTCTTAGGTGTCCGACACGCCTCCGCAGTGTCGGCGGATACAATGGACTTTGGCAGTTTTCTAAGCTGCGGGGACGTTGGGGTCAAATACGTGACCGGCCAGAAAGCGGCGATGACGCCAGGGGCCCCAAGTCCTTGGCTTTGCTCTATTCAACTTAAGCTTTGTGTTCCCCAGTGTGACTGTGCTTGACACTGTGCTTGCATGGAGTTGTGGAACAGGCTTGCTGTGGCTGTGGCAATGCTCAAAGTTGAAGCGGCCGTGTCGTCGGCGCATGAGGGCAATGGAAGCCGCTCGTCATGTCGCGCTCGAGGTCAGAAGCTGCTATTTGGGGGTGTCTTCCCTTGGCATCGGCCGAGTGCAGACACTGGAGGGGAGTTGCTCATAGGAAGCTTGTCAGTCACATGATACCAGGGTGTTGAAGCCTAGTGGGCAAGATATTTATGCAACCCAACACACCCTGAGCGCCTTCAAGCTGTGTGAGGAGAGCCCAGCGCTTCGCAGACGGCTGGGGCTGCCGGAGGCAACGCCCACCCCGCTGCATTGGAAGAGCCTAAGGCTTCCCTCAGACGGGCATGTTGAGAAGCAGCTGGTAAGTTGAACGTTGCCACGTTCTGGAGCGGTCCAGTGCTTTGCATGTTCTTCCAGCTTGCCTCCCGTCAGCATTTGCTGCCGCTGCCGAGAACCGGTTCTCGGATCGGCTCGAGCCTTTTCTCCGCCATGGCTGAGATGCTGCGCCTGCCCACTTTAGCAGAGGACGCAGGCGAGAGCCAATGTAATGCAACATTGGGCTGAGCTGCTTGCACTGGTGGGGCTCAGGTCTGCTCAAGACTGAGTTGTCGTATTTTTGCGCACTGGATTTGCAATGAGGAGCTTTGGGACTGATCATTTTCGAAGAAGAACACTTCGTACTTTCAAAATCGCAATGCAGACAACAAAAATGGACGGCCCCTAAGTTTCCCTTGGCCTTGGAAAGTGCTGCCTTTCCGGACTGAGTATTGCACGGTGCCAAGCACAGTATTCACTTTTGTCTCACAGCAACATTCCAGGCACAGACAAGGTGGTGGTGAAGAAGACCTTCATTGAGGCGGGTTAAGCTTTGGGAAGCGATCGCGCCGAGCGCCTCGAGCGCCAGGTGGTGGAAGATCTCACTCCGAAAGGTTTGCCACCTACATACAACTCAGTGACTGGGCGAAACTCTCGAAGCTGGGTGCCCCATGGGTGCTTCAAGTAGATGAAAACAGCAGGCAGAGGTGTCCATTTTGTTACGCGGGCATTCTGACGTTGCCACTTAGAGTATGTTGACGCATGTCGGTGCCAAGGACTCAGTCATCACTTCGCGGTTTGGCAGACAGCTGAGCGGCAAGTCCATTGTGGATGAGGAGCCAGCCGTGTGTCTCAGAACTCCGCACATATTTGGATGTCAAAACGGAAACTGCGGGCACGTGCTCGGATACAAGGAAACCCACCATGTGGAAGATTCCTCAGTTTTGACAGACACACGCGCACACACGAAACAAAGAAAGCAAACACATGTGAATCAAGAAGAGACAATCAAATCAAGCAAGCAAGGAAACAAGCAACAAACGGGTACACAGCCGATATGACCTGTGCCCTGACTTTGTGATGAATGGACGATTATTATCCTGTAGGCGTCCAGCATTGCTCCAATGCTTCTGGAATTGTGTGCTGCATGAGCCCCTTTGTTGCCTTGCATGCATAAGGTCGAGTTGGATGATGTGTTCGAAGCTTCCGAGTGCGACGAAGAAGACACTGCGAGGTAGCTTCCGATTTGACGTTGGTCATTCTTGGGATTTGCATTTTTTTCCGGGATGGGATGTGTGGTATGCCTCAAGGAAGGCTGCAGGTGTTTGCGAATGCTTGGCCTTTGCGTGCAGACGGTTGACGCTGGAACTGTGTTTTTGTTTATGATGTGCGTGTGCGTGTGTGTGTGTGTAGTCCCGCGAAGATGCGAAACACAGTAGTCGATGTCTTGTGGTTGCCACTTTCAAGTTTCATGTGGATTTTGTTCAATGGGGCAAACAGAGTCTTGGCGCAGATGCTTACACACCAAGCCCAGCCAGGCCGGAGAGGCCAGCAGAGTGCACAGACGAGGCGAGTAAAAATGTCGAGCTGGTTTTCCTACCATTGCCACTGTCTTCAGATTTTGCTTTTGCCCATCCATGCCTCCAAGCTATAGTAAGGATGGGAAGGAAGCCAAACAAGGGTCCCACTTGAAATGTTTCTTTGTGTTTGTGTTCGTTTCTGTGTATCTCAGGGGTCTCATTTTCGTGCAATTGCCAGGAGCTCCCAACACTGCTTGGTGGCAGGCCAGCTGAGGAGGCAGCTTGCCGTTGAGCCCTGGCATATGCCGCACCCACTAGAAACTTCGCTTTTTGTTTCGTGTTGGACAAGTTCGGTGAATCAGTACCACGGAGTCGCCTGCCTGACAGGCTGGGCCAAAGCGCTTGCTGATCTCTTCCTTTCTTCGCAGTGAGGCGGGCAAATACCGGTTCTGTGCTCCATCAAGCATGTAGAATAGGAGGAGTGAATAACTTGCCTGAACCGACCTGAAAGAGAGCAGCCGGACCAAAGTACTTGGAAGCACCAAAGGGGTGGCCTTCCAAGAAAAACATAGTGAGCAAAACGATCCACCCGCATTCCGCGAAGTTCGGCTTGAAGGCTTTCAACACCTGTCCGACTCCAAGAAGATTGGGAGCATGATCACTTCAAATTGATGGGACGGGAATTGGAACTGACTCCTGCCTTTGAACAATCCAAGAAGGGGCGCATGTTTTGCGTGTGTGGGGCCGCCTCTCCGAGCCCCCGCCAGGAAGGTTTGGGGCACCATGCGGTGGAGCCTCAGGAAATGTACAGGCCAGCCCAGTGAGTCGTGAGGTGCCGCGGCGCCAGGAAGTCTCGGGCAAAAGACATAGTGTTTCTTTGCGGCACTGAAGCTGAAGGTTTGGCTAGTGGGTCGCCGTGTTTTGTTTGGCAGAATCAAAGCTGAACGAGGTTCGTCGAGGCAAAGGGTGCACGAACGGCTCTTATCAAGACACATTTGTGCATTCGCAGCATCCTTTCATGGGGCATGGCTTCGAAGGACGACACAAATTGGAGCGACCTTGATAATTCTTCAGCGCAGGCGATCACTAGATCTTCTGGTGCAGCAGTACGCGGCCATGGCTACGGCAGCAGGCCGGCAAGCACATGTTTTGTGTCAAGTTGGCCTGGCAACGCATCTTGGTATGTTCCCTGCGTTCACCCCCGTCTTGTGAAGCCACTCTTGAGTAAAGAAATGTTGGCTTTGGCATTAGGGCCAAGCAGGACCAGAAAGAGGCAAGTGCCGGAAAACAGAACTGAGGCACATGTGAATCGTTGAAACGATCTAAACAAGGCCCGATTACCATCCCGAACAAGCCCCTCCTTGGGAGGAGGAAGCTCTAGTTCTGGCAGACAGCCGCGCACCACAGTGATGCTACGCACCTCGGTGGAAAAGGAGCCATGTCCAGGTCCGAATTTAAGAATGTCAGGTTCAGCGGCTTATTTGAGTACTACGTCAATACGGTGCTTGTGTAATATGTTTGACACGAGGCAATCTTCCCAACAACTACACTCGGACAATGGTTTGCACTATGATGGACAAAGAAGGCTTCAAGGCGTGGCGCCGCAGAGGTAGTGAGACAGTGAGACAGTGAGACAGTGAGATCTGACCAGGGCCAATACGACTTCCTCTACCTTCCCATTGCGCCTTCACGGCACTCATGAGGCCACTGCAGAACCGGGCAAGGAGCCACAGGTCATCCGGAGATGCGTTCTTGACGTGTTGTGGTTTTTGGTGTGTTTGTGTGTGTGCCTTTGCTTCGGCCTAGGATTTCCGTTCCAAAGCGAACTTGGGATATGCCTTTGCCGCTCGTCTGCAACAAGACCGAAGCAGCCTGGTTCCATTGTCCACCCACAGGTCCTGTCCCGTACCAAAGATGTTGTTTTGAAGCTCCTCAGTCTAGCACAACACCAAGCATGTGGGCTGTATGGTCTGACGAGATCACCATGGTTCTGCGCAGATTCCCAGTCTGTGAGTTTCTTGCTAAAGCCCGGCACTTTGCGCCATCCTTTGTTTCCCCAAGGTAAACCTTGTGAACGAGCTGCAAGTGCAGGCGTTTTGGAAGGTCTTTGACGGATACACGCGCTGGGTGCTGCCCAGTGCCAAGGCCGGCTTTGGATTGGTTTTGAAAAAGCAACGTGCAACCCAATGCGCGCGCTTCCTAAAATTGGGACTCCAAGAATACCTCTTGGATGCCATTAAGACACCATCCATCCAAATAGACTCCCCATGTTCGCGCTCACGCATAAATGCTTGGTCTCAAGGCATGTCATCATCGGCAGTCTCCTTGGTCCCTGCCACAATCCGAGAAACTGCATCCATGGGCACCTTGCGGGCAGAGGCACCACGTTGGAGACAAGGGAACCGGCGTTTCGTGAAGCAAGCGAATTGTAAGTGGCTGCCTTGTCAATGAGGATATGTTTTTTTAATGAAGCTTGATACCGATACCCACAGTCTTTCGGCATCTCTGTTTCTTTTGACAAGGGATAGCGTGAGTTTTGTGGTTGGCATTAAAAAGCGCGACGAGGAGATGTTTTGCAAACTTGGGTTCTTCACGACCAGGTGTGCAGCGTCAGTTGGAGCGGTCCACACCAAGGGCAGCAAGCGCATGTGGATCGCTATAAGCCACAGCCTCAGAAAGCAAGCCCGTACTAGTATGTCTCAGCTCTTGAAGGGAAAACCAAACGAAAACTCAGGGGGATGCGCGCTTTTGGGCCAGCTGCGCGCCCTCAGGGACAGCCCGATCATGCACAGCAGCGTGCCAGACGAGTTCAAGCCTGTTATCTTCGCAGGAGGCCTTTGTATCGCGACTACCAGACAAACGCACGGGGGTACCTGTACGCGACCCCCCCTCGTGAACTCCCTGGAACTTTGGCCCATCTCGTCCGAAATATGCGGGTCCACGGAACCCCTCCTCAAATGCTGAGTGTAATTTGGGAACGACTCAGCGTTGCCTGTTCGGAGAACCCTCTTTCCTCGTTTGGGTTCGCGGAAGAGTGTGCCGCGCCCGGCAAGCGAGCATGGCCAAGAGAGTTATTGAGATTGTCAGAAAAAAGAAGGAATTCTCAAGACACAAATGTGCCTTCAAGTTCTGGGTGTGTGTGCTGTTTGTGTAACTCACCTCCAGGCTTCAGAACAGTCTAGGACGTATAGGATGAACTACTGATTGCTTGAGAATCCTTTCCTTTGTCTTGTTTGTCGTCTGCTAGCTCCAGTCTGCTTTAGTCTACGTCGAGACAGCTACGTCTGAACGATGATGCCGCTGAAACGCTCCAGGCTCCGGCGAGCGGATGCCCTTCCCCGCGCCCTCCAAGAAGCTGCGGGCGCCAAGGAGGCGGCCCGGCCAGGGCCACGGCACCTTGGAGCCGTTTGGGGGTCAACTCCGGGTCAACTCCGAGGTTCGTGGGGTCAGTTGAGCAGCGCTTTTTTCTCGCTGGATTTTAGCTTCGTGGGGAACTCCCAAAAGCTCCGCGAAGGCACTTGTGCGATACATTGTGTACCGCGAAGCCCCACGAAGCCACTTCGCGTAGCCCGGTAACATTGACACAGGCGAAGCCACTTCGTGGTTTGAGTGTATTGCGTGCTTTCATGGGAAGTGTGTTGTGCGCTTTCATGGCAGTAGTATTCCAAAGGTTGATGTTTAGAGTCAGCAGGCTGCGACAAGAATACAGGAAGATTACGGGAAGACGACCGGAAGAGCACTGTGCGTTTCAGGCCCGGTTTTGCTAGAAACGATGGAGCGTTTTCGCGAAGCCTCTGCGGAGCCCCCGCGAAGCCCCCGCGAAGCCTCCGCGAAGCCACCGCGAAGCCACCGCGGTCCAACTTCCATGCTCCGCCCCTTTGAGGCCCAGCCACGTCCCCTAGTCCTGAAGCTCAATGCCTCTCTTGCCGCCTTTCATCGCCCGCTTTCGCATGGACTTAACTTGATTCAGCAACAAGGGGGCGCAAACGTCAGAGATGTTTGTGGAACACACATCCGCGAAGCCCTGGGCTTGGTGAGATTTGAGTTTCCTTATATGGTCTTCAAAGTAAGAAAACAATGGGCCTTCATCAAAAGGGGGCAAGTTCATATCTCCTTGTGTCTTCTTGTTGTTGTGTCCCTTTGATATTCCTGTCCATTTAATTGGTTTCCTTTGGTTTCCTTCTGGTCGCACCTGCAACAGATACACAATGGGACGAGCGGCCACGCACCCTAGAGACTGTTGGCAAATGGTGTTCATAATGGACAGATGCGCCTTGCCATGAACTTGTGTGACTGCTTATCGGAAGAACGCTTAACCTGGAGTGTTCGAAATGACAAATCATCCAGCACCTGCCATCCAGGCAATGACTCCAAGCCGGGCTGAGAGTAGACGTGAGCCTGTCTTTTGCGTGTGGCCCTCCGGTCCGCACCGGGTGGGTGCCAGTGCTTTGTCCCACTGACACCGGACTAGTCTAGTTCACTAAAGTTTGCTTGTCAGCACCCACCCAACTCATGCTGTCTCTGCAGCAGTTGGGAGAAACAGCCTTTGCTTTTCTACGCAGTTGCCGCTGGTTGTCCGAACCACCGTTTCAAAATCGGTCAAGTGCCACTCATCACTTGCAACCCAAACTACGATGTGTCATCTCTGGCTTGATCAAGACTCCCTCGCAGCACGCGAAGAGCTTGACTGGACCCATTCAGAGTGGTTCAGAAGTCTCTTCTTCGCATCGTGGCAGCAAGCCTTGACCAGATTCACTGTGCACAGAGTCATATGCGGGTTGACTTGAAAAGCGAATGATGGCACTTAAGATATTCTTGTTCGTGTCAAGTGCACAGGCTGCCCCAGAGCTCGAGAATCTCAGCTGGTGTCAGCCGAGCTGGCTCTTGCTGCCCTAATTTGCCCGTCGCGATCAGCGGCTGTCACGGGGTCAAGGCCGGGATTCGCATGATTTCAACTAGACCAGAGCACGGTAGGGCCACAGAGCTTCGGACCTGCACGAGCCATGGTTCGCAAACGGTTCTCCCTGGTGGCTCGTGAAAGCATGAGCCCCTGCCCCATGGCCGGGCTCAAGATGGACTGCCGCGAAACCAAATTGAGTGCTATGATGGGTACCCCTTGGTGACATGACCCCCTGCTGGGACCGTGTTACCCGCTCTGCAGCAACTTGTTCAGATTGATGCCTGGGCAGTTGCCCGCCCTCACGAGAGCTGCCCTTCTTTTGCGAGGCAAGTCATGGTTCCCCCCGCACATCGGGTCACAAGTCTTCGAATTTGTCCGAGCATCAGCTGCATCCTCCAACCGCTACGAGAAATCTAGACAGTTTGGGGAGTCGCAAGAACCACAGTTGCGAGTCGCAAGAACTACAGTTGCGAGGGATGCAGGTTGCACGAGCCGCGTCCGCACGCGATGCGGTTGGCCATTGACATCGTTTTTAGGCCGGCAAGGGCAGAGAGATGCAGCTCGAGAAAGCCCAAGAAGGAAGGATATGCTGCCACGTGTCCGGCGTCAATCGGTCTCAAAATGCTAGGGCACCGGCCAAGTGTCTGACCTTGGCTTGCCCACCTTGGCGCAATCACTTGGCGAAAGCCACAATCGAATTCGGTAATTCCGCCACCCGCTCGTGCGGATGGCTGAATCGCCCTCTCCGAGCCGAGGAACATGCTTTGGGCTTTACAGTCTTCTTGCGTCATGCTAGTCGCTGTTTGCAGGCTAACCTAGCAAAACAACTCATTAATGCTGTACCTGGATGTGTTTGCCCTCTTCCCTTCTCGATAGCACTCGCAGTTGGGGTTGTGGCAAATCAAGCTCGCACTGCACTCTTTGAGGCAAATCCTGTCTCGGGCCATTGGTGGATTGTTTGCGTCAGTTTCTTTCCCATGTCCTCCACATTCATGTGTTTGGCCTGAGCCGGGAAGTTGAAGACCTGTCCTACATCCTGTGGATTGCCTGTAATTAGAAGCGCATTGACTGGACGCGTTCTTTCTTTCCATCCAATTTGGGTACTCAAGACGTACGTTTTTCTAACTCGCAGAGGCAACGCACAGGGCAGGCAGTGCTTCCCTTGAGCTCAGCAGTTATCCAGGACGCTGGGCCTGTCTGCATGCCGAGTCCCAACTGCTGAGCACGTGGGAATACACAGAAAAAGTCGCCCGGTTGGTTTGTGAAGCGTATAGGCCTTCGCGCATGAGACCCGCAGGGCTGCAGCAAGGGCGTTCGCCTTTGCCGGGTGTGGCCCTTGGGCTCGTCTGCCGGGAAGCTGCAGGAGCGGGACTCTTGGAGAGGGGCCATGGGTCGGAGGCGCGAAGTTTGGAGGGAGCAGAGGCAAGGGTGGCCATTGCTGCAGGATTGCAGACATCAGTCGTTTACGGTGGTTCCACAATTCGACTATGTGTTTACAATGTGTTGCCACCAGTACAATGTCCTGGCAGCACAGGAGGATGACGTGTTGCTTGAGATCGATGGCGTCGAGATCAGCCA